CAAGGAATAAAAAAGGTGCAAACATGGGGATGAAGGGGAGCTAAGCTAACAGTTTTTGGATATAAAGCTGAGTTCAAATCCCACAGGGTCCACTTTTGAGCCAATGATAATATTTCTGGGTCTAAGTCTCCTCAACTATAAACCAGGGAAATGATCGCTGCACACAAACAAATGGGATAAACTGATGGTGGCACCTTGCAGGAACTCAATCTGTGGCAGTTCAGTGTTTTTTTTAGCAGTACACACTTATGGTCAGGAATCAGTAACAAACTAGGTTCTGGAGCAAAACATAAGAATGGATTTCACACAGGGGAGTAGCTGACCCCACTTCTGGGATAGCTATAGTGAGAAGATGACAAAGAAGAGCAGGGATGCGAGTAAATGGTGCTAAGGGCCGAACGGAAGCTGCCGAGTGGCAGAAAGAGGCTCCATGTGTAATCCTTTACCTTGAACCTCCATTTCCAATCATCGGAACCTACTGGAAAGTCTGACAGACTTTTCCTGGGAGCACACCCCCACCGGGGTCAGGGTTCCACACAGTGATGTCATGGGGAAGCCCGAGGTGGGGCTGGTCTCTGGGAGGGGTTAAATGAACGGGTATAAATGATCCTTCAGCACTATTTACAGAGGGACTTTCCTAATGAGTCAGAATGCATCACAAAAGCACACCCCGACCCCTCCTACTTTATGCAGGAAAATAAGTTGCAGATAATAATCTACAGGACACCAGAACTCTTAGGAGTCAATCCAACACCCTCATTTACCAAATGAGGATGCTGGGTGACAAAGCAATTTTGCAGCAGAGCCAGAGGAAAGAATTTGGATGTCCTCCCTCCCCATCTGCAGAACTTAACCAGGGGCCAAGGCCAACATGTTAATTGTACTTGAAAGAAACCACTTGGCACTAGGAATCACATTCTGCTTTCTTTAACCCTTTTTGGCTGTATTTTTTCTCATTGTTAAAAATAAAGTTCTTATTTGCCTTTCTCACAAAACATTCCTCATAAAGACTACTAATAAAAAGAAATCTCATTTTATTTCTTACTGGTATGTTCACAAATTTCACCTTCAGATATTTTTGAGAGCAACAGAAGCAGAACCCAATAGTCTAATTTTTCTTAAAGTTTAATACAATGTGGGCATTTTCCCAGTTTACAAGTCTAGCTGTTGCTTTCTACACTTGCATAATAAATATGGTGAACTGAAGTCCCATAATAATGAAGACTGATGGCTCAGAGAAACAAGGTCATGTATAGAAAATTTCTGGAAGTCACTGCTTCTAGGTCTTGTATTGCATGGACAATTAGCTCTTTGGGATGAAAAAAAAGATCTCATCACCAGTTCTCCCCTATGGACAAAAGAATCTGCAGCCGTATCCAACAATAACTTGAGTTAGAAAGCAGAGACCCTTGAGGAACACGGGAAGAGAAAAAAAATGTTTCATGCTTTAAGGAAAGCAGTCAGTGGAACAGTCTTGCTTTGCTCCAATAGCAAAAATTTCAGGAGAAATCACTCCTATCCAACACTTTTTAATGCACTGTAAAGGTCAAGCTTTAAGTGGGGTGTGTATGGGAAGGCTGCAAGGCTGATAAACAAAAACAAAACAAAGGCCAGGCCAATGAACCATTATGCTTGTAAACTTCTCCACATCTCATCCCGGAACCTGGTGTGGTGCCAAGCCACAGGCAGGAAGGAGCCATGTTAAGTATCAGGCTAATGAACTGACCATTACCTATCCTGCTGGATTCAAAAGGAAGAAGCTGTTATCTTACACTCAAAGAAGCTGCATCATGAAAGCCCTTTTAGAAAGAACTGTACTACTGTAACAGGAAGTGACTATAGAATGAATTAGCAAGTAATGACGAGTTGGTTCCACAACTATTCCTGTACAGTGAGGGGCAGATATGTGGAAGACCCAAAGATGCCAGGAAGAAAGCACACATAAATCCCAAGGAGTAACTATCTGCAAGTCCAACTGGAGCCCTGAAAGTAGCCAACTTCAGGATGCCCTTTATTCTCGCAAAGCCAGGGTATAAGGAGTAGAATCTACCTTTTTATTTCCAGTACTGGAATGAACCTGGGGTGCCTCACCACTGAGCTACATCTCCAGACCATTTCCTTTTTCTTTTTGGTACTGGGGATTGAACCCAGGGACACTTTACTACTGAGACAAACCCCCAGCCCATTTTATTTTTTATTTTGAGGCAGGATATCACTAAGTAGCTTAGGTCCTCACTAAGGTGCTGAGGCTGAACTTGAATTTGTGATCCTACTGCCTTAACATCCCAAGTCGCTGAGATTACAGAGGTGTAACACTCCTAACTGTGGAATTTGCTGGGAGTCCCTCATGAGCTTTATATTCCCACTTATAAAACATGGCACTCTGATTACCCATAGGTGATGGGATTGAAAGCCAGATATAACTGTACATATAAGGGTATGCACCACAGGAGGGAAACCCAAAATTATAACCATCAGGAAGTTAGAACAAGTCCCAATCCTAACCATGTCCTATTCTCAGTGGCCAAATGACTCGTAGCTCTGACAATGGGGACTTTCTACAAGGTAGGAGAAACAGATTAGTTGCACCCAAGATAGCAGGAGGTGCAGGGCACCACGAAACCTACTGTGGACAAGACTCCTATGGATTCTCAGTAGGAATTGCTATTTTTAATTTTTAGTTTGTGAAAAACATCTCATACAGAGACCAGGATGGAAGGCAAGGGAAGAGTCAGGAAAACTGTACACTACAAAGGGGAAAATGAAAACCACAATGCATTCTTTTTGACATTTAAGTTCTAGACCACTTTTTTTTTTTTTTTTTGTTTCCCACAGCCGCCCTACTCACAAATAGAAAATGGTTATTCTCCCTTTGAATTCAGAAGGCATTTATTTCCTTGCATATTTGACAAGGACCTGAGGACTGAGTGCACATGCTCAAACACCACTGGACTCACTGCCCTCCCACCTGGTATGTTGTCCTGCTTTTTCCAGGACAGTCTCAGCCAGGACTCCCTTTGCTCAGACTCAAGACTCTTGACATTTGATTTGCTGGGATGTAGCATAAAAAAAAAAAAAAAAAAAAAAAAAAGGACTTTTAGAAAAGAATGATCCTACTGTTTCACAAGAGCTTCCAGCCTTGTCAGACTCCTTAAAGGGTTTATTTTATCATCACAGCAATAATCTCCTATTTCTTAAAAACTCAAATAACCTCTAAGGTATGCATGGCATGGCTGATGCACAGCCCATGCTGGGGACTGACAGATGAGAAAGGATGTGCTTTAGTTATTCCATCTATAAAATAAAAAGTCTTATTGCTTGATTCCAATTCTTTGTTACAAAGTTATATTAGAAGGATTAAAATCAATCTTTTACTTTTAGACAAAAACAATTTTGAAGATCACTGCAGGATGAGGATTTTTTTTTTCTGAGATGATATGCTGGCAAAGTTATAGCAATAGGTCAAAGTGTATGTCTCTAGATCAGCCCCTGGAAACGATCCATGGGCAGTGCTGGGAAGCCTGAGAGATAAGTTCAACCCTTAATTCTGTAGAGGACTGACCTGTAGGTAGGTAACTGGTCTGATTGAAGCACAACAGAGCCAAGATGAGATCTTGAATTGAGGACTCCTGCCCCCCCCCCCCCCAGCCCTAAGATCCTTGGGGCAGATATGCATAATGTTACAGTTTTGTCAAACAAATTGAAGCTCTGGGAACCTTAGGGCAAAAACAGCACAGCATCCAGCTCACAATGATAGCACCAAGAGAGAAGTTGAACATTTGCCTCAAAACACACACACAATCCACTTTATTAAGAAATGTGTTTTCATTACCCACAAGGCAATTAGTTCTGGTTCTCCTATGAGAAGTTCAAATACATACATGCCCATGGCTGGTTAAATGAAAGCCACGTGGCTCAATCAGGGGGCACTATCATTTTAGAAAATGTTGGCCAACAATAATAAGATACAAGCTCACAATGTAACTTTGAAATTTCTAGTGGCCACACTAAAAAAGTAAAAGAGAAACAGGTAAAATTAGCTAAAAAAATTTTTCTGGTGGGGGGCGCAGGGGCAGGTAGCAGGGATTGAACTCAAGAGCACTCGGCCACTGAGCCACATCATCCCCAGCCCTATTTTGTATTTTATTTAGAGACAAGGTCTCACTAAGTTGCTTAGCACCTCACTTTTGCTGAGGCTGGCTTTGAACTTGCAAACCTCCTGTCTCAGCCTCCTAAGCCGCTGGGATTATAGGCATGCACCATAAATCTAAATCTTATCTAACCTAATTTATCTAAAAATTTAATCACTGCAATATATGATCAATATAAAAGTTGAGATTGCATCACATTTGGGGCATATTCCAAAGGAAATAAACTCAGAATATAGAAGAAATATTGCACATCCAAGTTAATAGCAGCACTATTTATAATGCCCAAGATATGGAATTATTCAAGTTGTCTATCAATGCATGAATGAATAAAAAATAGTATTCCATTGTATGGATGTACATACACAAGTACTCTATGATTTTACTGATGTGTAGAATTTAAAAATACCCAACTCAGAAGTAGAGAGTAAAACACTGTTCATCAGAGGTTGGAAAAATACTGGTTAAAGGACACTAAATTTCACTTAAGCAAGAAGAAAAAGTTTTTGAGATGTATTGTACAGCATGGTGATTATATTAATAGAAACGAATTATGAATTTCAATACTACTAAAGGAAAAATCAAATGTTTTCACTACCAAAATGGATATGTGAGATGTAAACTAGCTTAATCAATCATATTAATCATTGTGCAAAGTATACATATACCCAAATCTCAAACTGTATCCCATCAATGTATATAATTACTATTTGTCAAGTAAAATTAAAACTCTCACAAGAAAAAGCTTCAGATGCATCTATGTCCTGCTCTTCCTTTCTCCATGTAGTTCCTATACATCATCTTCTGAGCTGGGAGTGACCAGCTACAAGAGCATTTTAGATGACTGCTCACCTGTCAATGAACTGATCGATGACAACGATGTCACCGGGCTGAATCTCCTCCCTCAAGGAGCCGCAAGCCGTTGTCACTATGACATGTGTACAGCCCTCCTCCTTCAGAGCCCAGATGTTCGCCTGGTAGTTGACTTTTGAAGGCATGATGGTGTGATGCCTCCCATGTCTAAGGGAAAGAGTATAAAGATGGTAGACAAGTGATCAGGGCATCTTAATACTGCTAGAAAAGCATACTAATTCAACGGCAGTGTTTACTAGTGTTTTCTACCAAAGCATTTTTATTGGCAGAGGAGGAATGAGAAGAGATCGGTCAATAATCATTCTACAACAAACATAGACTAGCTCATCTTAAAATGCAGACCAGCTTTATGTTCCATATATTAATTTTCCTACAAGGGCAGGTAACAACTTGCTTAGAATCCACATTCCAGGAAGACATACTGCATCTGTCACATGGGGCATGAATGCCCCAGAGCAAGGCATGAGGTTTCATGTGCACCACTGTTTTCTAACTGAAATGGAAGCCCAAGCAGTTGGATCTTTCTGCCTGATCCTCCAAAAAGCTAATGAAAACTTGTAAGGCACAAGAGTTCCCAGTTGTTTGGAGTGACAGTAACAGGTTTTGTCCAGTAACTGCTTACCTGACAACCACTGGATGGTCTGAACTGTGACCCACCAGAATTCATGTTGAAGACCCAACCTCCACTCCTATCTCAGAATGTGACTGTTTTTGGAGACAGTTCTTTATGAAGTAATTATGTTAAAATGAGGTCATTAGGGTGAGTCCTGATCTAATATGACTGGTACCCTTTCAAGAAGGGGAAATTTGGACATAGATATGTAGAGAGGGAAGTGGATATGAGGACACTGAGACAAGCCAAGCCAAGACAAGCCAAGAGACAGGCCAGGAACATAACCTTCCCTCACAGCCCTCAGAAGGAGAGCTCTGCCAACACCTCAGTCTCAGAATTCCAGCCTCCAGAGCTGTGAGAAAATTCATTTTGTTATGCAAGGCAGCCATTCTATAGCACTGTTATGATAGTCTGAGTAAACCAATATAATCACAAATGCTTACTATCATACTTCAAATAAAACCTAGCACTTTACCATGGATTTCTACCTCGTGGGCCCCAGCTTAATGACACAACACCTCCTAACCTAGGTCTCATAGCTCTGCTGCATCCACGCTCACTTCTACTTAGGTCTCAAAACTCTTTAGGCCTAAACTCAAAGATCGCCACCTCTGAGTTTCCCTCTATGATCATCACATCTACATCACATCAGTTCCTCAAACCCATTTTTCTTCATAGTGCCTCTCAGCACCTTAAACTTATCTTCTTTTAGTGTCAGCTTTTTCAACTGGAATCAGCCTGGAGGGTGATGCGGTGTCTACTTTCCTCCCTGGCACTTAGAAAGGGATACATAACAAGTAAATGGTTTGATCTGTTAGACAAAAACATGTATTTGGTTAAAATTCTTTGATCACCTGAAATACACAGCAGTGTGTGTGTGTGTGTGTGTGCGCGCGCGCATGCATACACCCCCTCTACCTGGAGGGACTCCAGTGAGCAGCTGGTAAAGGGAATTCAATTTCTGAAATTATTTCTAAAAATTCACCTGTATCACAAAGCATACTTATAAGCCATATTTCATAAACAAAACTTAAAATTATCTTGGGCTATTTGAGTAACTAAGACATGTCATGCTCTATCACAGAAAGGCAGTGCCCAAAATCAAGTTTCCTTTCCATGTGATCATGCAGAAGGACTATCACACAAAACTTACAAAACTTAGTTTGTTTGATGATGATTAGAAATTTAGGCTTCGTTTTTGTTTTGCCTACATATTTGCTTATATTTTTTGGTGAGAACACACACTTAAATTCTATTTTACATAAGTATAAGGTTGAATTTCTATGTGTTTAACATTAATAGACATAGACATATCTAGAAAAAAAGAGTAGAAATAAATATATCCAAATATTAAGGAAAAAGTTGGGGCTTTTGAGTAAAATTTTGGGTTTGAAGCTCTGCCACTTACTAGCCCTGTGACCTTATCAGTCACTCTACTCTCAGTTCAGTTTCTTTTCACCTGTAAAATGGATAATGAAATACCTACGCTAGAGGATTATTATTAAATACCTCTTGTAATTATCATATTTATACTTAAAAAGTATCTTTAATGTCTTTCCTGATGAACAACAGAAGTATTAAAAGCATCAAAATAACTGCAGACACATGTAGCACACTGTGGCTTCTATCCTGAGTTCACAGATGACCTATCAGAAGATGGGGACCATTGATACCCAGAAAGTACATATATCTTTCTGAAAGTGTTCTCTAAAACTCTTGATTAGCTACTTCAAAAGAAATTTTTAAAACCAAAAGCAATTCAGAACCAATGCATTAAAGGGTCAATCATTTCACAGTCTGACAGTTTAGTTCAGGAACATTAAAGCCTCAGCATTGGGCTACCTTACCAACGGTCTCCCCATAGACCTTGGAAAAAATTAATCAATTCTCTAGCAATCTCTAGCCAAGACTTGGGTTGTCAATACAAAAGCTATTTTTTTTTCTTTAATTTAAAAAGCAAGCCAGTAGGGCTGGGGATGTGGCTCAAGCGGTAGCACACTAGCCTGGCATGAGTGGAGCAGGGAATACACCTTATATGACCCAAGCAGAGGACCCTATGAAACTGTGCCAGACTTCAGACCACAGAAACTAGGAAATAGTGTGCTGCTGAATCCGTGGTAATCTGGAACATGGCCATGGAAAACTAGGCAATGGAAAACTAAATGTGTAGTCTAATGTCTAACTATGTGATAAAAACAATGTTGCCTTCTTTATACCAGGGAGCGGCACCAGCCTCAACCAGGGAACAAGGTCTAGACACTACAGTCAATTCACTTGATAGGCCCCAAGCCCCTTTCCACAAACATGAAACAACTACTATATAAGAAGTCACTAATGGAACACTGTTCTTTATGTTAATTAGGAAAAAAAAAAATTTCTTCTTGCAGTTAGAACTGAAAACAGAGCTTCAATTTTATTCACCTGATTTTCTTTTCTAACCTCCTGGGATGGAGTGGAACATGAGCTCTTTGATATCCTACATATGCAAAGCTTACTTCAATTAATTAATTAACTAATTAATTAAAGGTGGCTAAGATGTTCTGACTCCAACACATAAAAGCTCATGCCTTCATCATTATTCTTTCCAGAATTTAAGCTGAATTTCAATTTAGTGATAATATTCAAAAAGCTTAAAATACTTACCTTGCAAGGAGGACACAATCAACATTTTTTATCTTCCCCAAAATTAAGGCATCAGATGGCTGTGTGCAATGAAAAACAGTTACACCTCAGTGATTTTTAAGACACATAAGCAAACAATTTAAAAATTGTTAACCTATAATAGATTCATGAAACTTGCAGTCTGAAAATATAGCTTAGAAAAGAGTCTAGATTTGATTAACGTAATCAAAGAACTTTAACTGAGTGCAAACTCAGGTTCTGAAGGTTGCTGGGGGCCTATATAGGTATCACTTAGTAAGGTCATTTGTATCAAGCACTCAGTGGACTCTGATAGCAGACTCAACAAACTTAGATGTGTCAAGGGTATATGGCAGGCTCAAGAATAGGTGTGAGTGAAAGGCAGAGAGGTAATGAGACCACAGCACGAAGGACTCAGCAATAGTGCTGTCTGCTTATGTTAACCAGGTCTCAGATGGCCATGGGGATGATGCAGGGAAAGTCCCCGTTCACTGAGGGGTTGCCAAAGCATGAGGTTAGGAGGAAGGCCAAGACGACATAGGGCCTGGAAGTCATGAGGTCAATCCAAAAACTGAGCTAAAAAGGAGGATTTAGTTAGAAAGGACAGATGCAGAGATCTTCAGAGGATCAGAGGAACTAGTGTTTGGAAGTAGCAATAGGGAGTAAGTAGAAAGCAGACACCCCACCCTGGCCTAGGCCGGTGACACAGGAGCCTGGGGAAAAAACAGTGTGTCCTGGAAAATGAAGAGCACATCACTCCCAGTGCTATGAATACCCACACTGTGTGATCTCCAAGACAATCCTCCTCTGGCTCTGGGCTCACTCCAAAAAAAAAAAAAAAAAAAAATAATAATAAATAAATAAATAAAAAATGCTACTTTGTAATAGTACTTCATCCTATTAGTCATCAGCCTGTACCCTGAATTAGTGTGCTGTGACATATAGTCACTGAATTAGAAGCTTATTTGAATGCAGACTTGAAAAGCAGAGTTGTTATGTCTAAAATGAGTGTCTGCCTTCTAGCAACATGAATTGAGAAGTTACTTGTGCGTATTCAAAAGCTGTGTTTTCAAAACAGGGAGCTCTGAAGCATCCTTGCTCTGGGGGGGGATGAAACCCAATGACAAGACCCCAAGCCAAGACTTGGGTTGTCAATACAAAAGCAATTTTTTTCTTTTGATTTAAAAAGCAAGCCCGTAAGAAGTGTATAAAACTAACATATCTCGATTAAATAGATATTAACCTTGCCAAATGGAGTATCCACGTATTTTTCAGTTCTTCCTTCTAAAATTTCTGGATCATCCAGGCCTGTTCCACCAATTATTCCAATCTAAGGGAAGAAAAAAGATCATCACACTAGGTCTTTTTTTTTCATTCGAAACACTGAAAAACATTCAGAAACATTTGAAGGTCTTCTATTGTTTAGAAATAACCAAAATGTAATTTTTAAAAATTATATCACATTTATTTCTGACTGAATTACAAATAAATAGAGAGGTACTTTTAGATATCTAATTAAGTAACTGACATCATTAGGAAAATTTCTCTGGGCTAACATCTGAAAGGAAAAAGTATGTAAACAGCCAGAAACCAGACATGACACCAATAGAAAGATCATAGTGACCGGAACTATTTTTACCCCCAACGAAAGGTTTAACTCTATTGAACAAAGTAGCTTCTGGAACAAAAATTCAAAGTTTAGAATTACTTGAATATCTAAAGTAAGCAATTTTCAGATCAGGTTATATAAGTTGATTTATATCAATTTGGAGGAAAATGGCTCTTTCTCTGGCCCTCAATTTCCTGGTGGGGGAGTCAACAAATTGAAAATAAATAAATATGTAAAATAGGGGCATTTAGTGAGACCTTGCTGAAAATTCTGTTGGCTTAGTACATTTCCTTAAGTGGCTAAGTCAGTTGATGGAGCCACCTTGTGGTACATTACTGAAATCACAGGTTTTATTGTTTCATACTAACTAAAAAACATAAAACTAATAAACATTAGTTTTAAATCAAATCAAAAGCAGCACTCCCTTTAGTCAATACATTAAAATCATCTAGTTGAACAGAATTTTTTTTAAAAAAAGAAATCACACTGCTTTTTGCAAATGGGAACCTTCCTTTGGTCTGGCCTCTCTATTTTATCCTTCATTTTATGTATCCTCTTAAGCACCACGAGTCATAAAGAGGTTAATAAACTGTCCAGCCAATGTCCTCATCTTGGTCACAGAAATAAATTGCTGACTCTAAAAATTACTCTCAGCCTACTCTTTGGAGATTCAGGTACTCAAAGAAACTTTTGCATTTTTTACTTATGACCACTTTGACTTGATTGTTTTTAGATATTCCCTGGGCTGTGGCCCAGGTGATTTAACAGTGGATTCTGGATTTAACAGTGGACCCTCAGGCACGTACATACAAAACAAATCTAATTTGGTTTTGGAACCACCGTTCAGTTTTCATGCTAGTCCAGCATGGAAGCAGTGATTACAAAATGCTAGTGGGGAATGGTGATGCACATCTATGGTTCAGGAGACTGAGGCAGGAAGACCGCAAGTTCAAAGCCAGCCTCAGCTTGAGTGAGACCCTGTCTTGGGGGAAAAATTGGAGAGGGGGCTGGCTTTGTGGCTCAGTAGTCGAGTACCTCTGGGTTAAATCCCCAGTACCAAAAACAACAACAAAAAATAAAACAAACAAACAAAGAACACTAGGCAGTCCAGAAATTCTGAATTCCAAACTTCAGTTTATACCATCTGGGCTGCATGATGGCCCTGCACTAGGTAACTGGCAACTCAGTCCTCAGCAAAGCATATACAGTATTTGACTAGAAAGCAAGTGGCCAGTGCTTGCCAGAAGGGCAGGATGGAGTCTCTGGCAATGAAAAGATCTGCAGGCAAGCCTACCCAGCCATCCAACTAGTTCCAGTTGTTTATGGAAACCCTCCTTGCAAGGGATAAAGCAACAAGTGTAGTGACTGAGTTCTGTATTGCCATTGAAGGTAACTGGACCTCCAAGATGGAGGCTGGCGGTGCCAAAATGTGGTCAATGTCTCCACCTTCTGGTCCTATGGCAAAGTACAGTTGAGATAAAGTCTCCAAGCACTAATGGCCCAATTCTATTTACACCCTGGTAAGCCTCTAAATTCAACAATCAGTTCAGTACTTGCTTTGATAATGAAATGACTGTTTTGAGTATTTACATGCCAGATGTATTGTGTAAAGTGTTTCAGAGGCCGAATCTGTTATTTAATCATTACATCTATCCTATGAGATAGGCCCTATACTATTATACCCATTTTACAAATAAGGAAAGGCACAAAAATAAAGAAATTTGTATAAGAGCAATTCATAGGGAGCAAACCTGGGATAGAGACCCAGGTGTCTAAAGCTTAATCATCATGATATGCTATGTCTTAATATCCCTTGTAGTCTTTCCTGATATCATGCTCTATTTAAAAAATTTTGTTGTTTCCATGTTATGAAGAAACATGCTCAGCAGGGTCAAGAACTTTCTTGACCAAGGTCACAGAGCAAGCATAGAAATAGTACCATTGGATATCTGAGTGACCACCTTAAAGGAGAAGAGGACTGATCACGGATAACTTCATCCATCCTCAGGAAACAATAAGACCCGTGGGCTGGATCATCAGTCATGAGTCCAGTTAATTCTAGCCTGTCCATAAAATGGGCTTAAGGCCTGAGATGGAATTTCTGGGCCAATTCTCCCCATCATTACACAAAATAAGGGACTAAAATGGGAACTCCCTGGTCAATCAAGGTCACTAAAAGATTTTGTCAGTTCCTTCCCCATTTTCCCACTGACAGACCACTGAGACAGTCTTCTCAAAAAGAGAAAAACAGGTTTCACTTCTTCTCTGACAGGATGGAAGCATCCTGTCCAAGTGGTGGCTTACCTGGCCAGAATGGTTAGATCCAGCAAGGATGAAAGGGTGCCTCCAAATCCCTACCCTATGCATTTTCCTTGGTACCTGGCTCCAGGAGACTTCACCTACCCAGTCTGGTCTCAGGACCTATCACCTTGAGATCTGAACACCCTGCCTCAAGAACCCAGTGCTCTATGAGGGCATTCTCAAAACATTACATCTCTCAGTAGCTGAGATCATCCCATGCCAAGGTGATGGACTGCTTCTGAGTGCTTCAACTCTCAAGGAGGTTAAGAGTCAGAGCTAAAGCTGGCAGTCTTTGAGTATTTCAGTCCGTCACCTATGGTTGCTGCTTACAAGTTCAGTAAGCTCAGCAGATAGAAGCCCTCATTATTTGGCCAACTTGGCTTTGAAGTCTTTGAGGACTTTGCAAAATCCCAGATGTCCTATATGGGAAAAGAGCAGCCAAATGACTCAGGCTGCCTATTTAAAACCTGCAATATGGTTCAAATGTCCTTTGTGAGGAATGATTATGTGCTGAACTGTGCTCCACTCCCCCAGATTCGTGATGAAGTTCTAACCAGCAGTACTTCAGAATATGACTGTATTTGGAAATGGGGTCTTCAATGAGGTTAAGAAAGGTTAAATGAGGTCAATGGGATGGGCCCCAATCCAATAAATTGGGAGTCCTAAGAAAAGTGATTCAGACACTTATATAGAAGAAAGACTGTGAAAACATGTGGAAAACACGGCTAGGTATAAGCCAAGAAAAGGGAAACTGACCCTGATCACACCCTGATCTTGGACTCCACAACTGTAAGGTAATATGCTTCCATTTCTTAAGCCACCTGTTAGTGTGCTTTATTACAGCAGCCCTGGTGAACTACTACAGGGATGTTACATTCCAGTCAGAGAAGTCTGATGCCCACAGTTCAGAACACTCATGGCTTTGATCATCCTCTCCTTGCAATGTCAAGATACGAGTCCAGTGAGGAATCACTCTCTGGAAGACACTTCACTCCTGAAATGGTCAAGTAATTTTTGAGGGTTTTCCTCAAAGCTCATTGTGTTCTTTAGAGCTCTCCTTCACAGGATCTACCTGGCTTTCTCCTGAGTCAGCAGAGAGAATACTTAAATCCCCTGGGGAACTTTCAATGCCAAAGCTCAGGTCCCAGACTGCAGAAATTCTGATTAATGGGAGACACAGAATTTGTTTTACTTAAAGCTCTTCAAGTGGTTCTAACGTGCATCCACAACTAAGCATGCTGCTTTCGGGCTTAAACCACAAATTTATAAAATGTGGCCTAGCTGAGTATGGTAGGCTGAATAATGGTCCCTATATTCATCCGTTTTTTGTAGCTGTGATGGTATACATGTGAAAATAATTTAAGAGGAAAAGTTTATTACAGCTCATGGTTTTAATCCACAGTCACTTGGCTCTGTCTCTTTTGAGTCTGTGGTGAGGCAGAATATCATGGCTGGGAGCACCTGGTGGAGAAGATGGTGGAAGAAATCTGTTCACCTTATGGCTACCAGGAAGCCAAAAGGAGAGTGAAGGTCTTGGGTCCCAAAATCCCCTTCAATGACCTAATTTCCTTCTACTAGGCCCACCTCCTACAGGTTCTACCACCTTCCAATAATACCACAGGCTGGTGCCCAAGCCTTTAAAATATGGATCTTTGGGGAACATTTAAGATCCAGATCTTAATATAAATAGATCCTATTTATATTCAAATTCTCAGAATCTATGCATGTTAAATGATTAAATTAAGAACCATGAGATGGGGAGATTATCTTGGATTATTTGAATGGGACCTAAATGTAATCAGGAAAAAGAGCCTCATAAAAGTTAGGCTGAGTCAAATGATGGTGGCGGGATCACAGGAGCAGAGGGAGAGAAAAGGGGATGTGATTCTGGTGCTCTTAAGCCAAGCCAGGCTGATGTCTTCAGAAGCTGGGAAAAGCCAGCAACTGGACTGTCCTTTAGATCCTCCAAGAAGAGCCAACAAATGCTTGATTTTAGCCTCGTTAGACTCATTTTGGATTTCCGGCATCCATAGGAAAGCAACACAGAATAAGACTTGCCATAAGAGTCTATTAGAATGCAGTTGTCCACCCTTTCCAAAGCTCCAGGGTCAGTGGGCATTTAACATCCTGGGTTTGTTAAAGTCCTATATTTCTGGTTCAGCGGGATTGTGGCAGGGCCCAAGAATTTGCATTTGTAACATCACCAAGTAAGGCAGATGCTTAGGAAGCTTTGAGAACCACTGGTTTAGATGCCTCTGAGGTGCAGACTAGAATACGGGGTTTACAATCACAGTTAAGGATCCAGGGTCCACTGCATGCAAATATTTATGCTATGTTTCTTCATCTTCCTTATCTATGAGGGTCAGATTTCTACTTAATCTATAGAAGTATCATGAGAGTCAAATGAAACACCACATTAG